ATCTTCAATGCTCGCGCTCCGAAAACACTTCGAACACTGTTTTCGGGTGGGTGGTTTTCTGAGCGTAAAATTTTCACGCTTTGAAAGTCAAACGAGTGCTGATTCTCCCTGGCATGGCTCGAAAGAGCGGTGTTATTTTTTTTGTCATATTTATGGCCGTTTAAGCGACTTTTTAAGTATTGACTAGTTTGTCCGATGTAGACACCGTTATAATTTTGGCATGGTATTTGATACACAACGTGGCTTTTTTTCTCGTCAGGGATTTTTGATTTTAATTTACCAAAGTTTTGTTCTAATAGATTATAACCTTTGTGTGCCACCGTAATATTGTGTTGTTTGAAAGCATTGCTTAAATTTTCCGATAGCCCTGGAACGTACGGTAATGGGAGATATTGTTTTTGAGTATTTTTCTTTTCGGATTTGTTACCAGCATTTTGATTGTAAAATTTATGTATCCGTTTTTTGAAAATTTTCTTTATTAATACCTACATCCGGATAACTAGTCTAGAAAGTTAATGACGATATTTTTTTCGATCTCTATTGTAAATTGAAGTTTGTCGTTGTATGAATTAAAATTCTTTAATTGTGGTTTGATGTTCATTTTTTTTTGTGAAACCTATCTGAAAAATGCAGTACAAGTTAGGACATCTTCCAGAAGAGTGGCTTCGTTCATTTCGTTTCGTTTCGTTACCAAAAGTCTGGTGTCCCATTTTTTGAATCTCTTTGCGAATTTTGCGTAATAAGCTCTTCAAACAGTGTTGGCGGCATCTGTCAGTTTGGGTTTAAAAATTGTTTTGGGATAAGAGAAGCTATAGTCAGCATACAAACTTTGTTTCAAAATTGTCAGGACCAGGGACCAGATTACGCAAAGGCTTTCGATAATGAAAAACATGATCTTCTGATATCGTACCTAAAGGCAGTTTCATCTGAAATCAGAAAGCAGAGCAAAAACAAGTCGCTCAACAACGGTGCAGTTTGGTATAAAAAAAGTGTTAGACAGGGTTGCGTTTTATCACCGATGCTTTTCAATATATCGTGAGTAGGAATATGGATCTAGTGACGCACCTTAAAAAGTTTAGCAAACGTGTTGCATAGTATACTATTTCAACGAACTTTAGTTTTTGGGTACATTTTCGCAAAACAACACGACCGACCGTCAGAATTGACAAACGTCAAAATTCAAGCCGTGCGGTAAAATCTCCGAAAACATCCGATTGGTCTGAAACGTTCGAAGTGGTTCGGGTCAGTAGAACAAGAAACTCACGTGGTAAAATGGCGCTTTCCGCATTCTAAATCGTATTTTACAGCACGGAACGGAAAAAAATCTTTACTTCATCCAAAGTTGGCAATAAGGATCTAACGTTGATGTGGCCAAGTCTTAAGTTATTAAAAAAAAGTTTTCTTTTGAGACGCCATTGCAAAAACATTATACTGCACTAAAATATCGAAGTAGATTCGATTGCTCCCAAACCCGGAAATGGCCCAATTGAAACGAAACGGACGTAGTAAAATGACACTTTTCGATATTTGGTCTCAAAAGATAGTTATAGTTGGCTATGACTTCATGTTGATAGAATAAGCAACATAATGTTTTAGTGCGATTTTGAAAGGTCTATCGAACCAAAAAAAAATCAAAGTTAAACCGCATACAAACACTTTACAAGGGTGTACAGCCTTAAGCAGAGAACAAACATTCGAAACATGATATAATTTGATATAGTTGGGTTCTGTAAAAGAAGAATTTGCTGCCAATTTATTCTTTAAAAAATCTCTAATAGTGCTTCTCTCATCTATCATCTCTTTTGTTAAATAGTCCCAGTTGATCGTGGCTTTAGGTTGAACTAATAAACACAACAAGTAAATTGGTTAAGGCTGTCGCGGCCCGTTGATAAGCTATTATCTTCATTCGGGTTTAAAGGCCGTCGTCGATTGGAATTACTTCCTAACGTTTCGCTAGCACGAGTGGCGAGCTTCTTCAGAGGTCCTTCCATCTCCGATGTTGGACGTAGACTGACGATTTCTCCTGCGCAGGTTGTATTTATGCCGATTGGTGGTGGGCAGGGCTTGTTCCGCTTCGGTTGGACTCGGGATATCGATGGGTACTGCTCGGGCGTTCCTAAGGATCGGGTTCCAGATTTGGTTGAGTCTAAGGGTCTCCTCCTTTCGGTTGAAATTGTATGGGTGTTTTTGTATCTCAATGGCTTCCCTGACTAGTCTGTTGTGATAGCCGTTGACCGATGCTAGTAACTTACAGCTCTCAAAGTGTATCCTGTGAGGAAGCGAGGTAAGAAGCTGGGCCACACAGTTTACAGAAAACCAACCCATATGGACAGATACCTGCATGCTCTATCCAACCATCACCCAAGTCAAAAGTATGGGGTTATCAGAACCCTGACAGAACGAGCCCGAAGGATTTGCGAACCGGAGAACCTCCAGATGGAACTTGAACACCTAAAAACTGCGTTCGAGGCAAATGGTTACAGTAAGAGGGAGATCGAGAGATCAATGAACTCAAGATCATCAAGATCACGGGATACCGAACAACGACCCTCCACCTCTCACGCATATCTGCCGTATATTCCGAGTGTCACCGACAGGATTGGCAGAGTATTGAAAAGACACGACATCAAAACAATCTTTAAGCCTACAAAGAAGATCCAGCAGACCATCAGGTCAGCGAAGGACAAGAGGGGCTCACTTTCAGCTGCGGGAGTCTAGCGCATTCCGTGTTCATGCGGAAAGGTCTACATCGGAACTACCAAGAGATCAATGGGAACGAGACTTAAGGAGCATAAAGCAAGCTGCAGGCTAGGACATACAGAGAAGTCTGCAGTGGCTGAACACGCACTGGGCAGCGGGGAACATAGGATACACTTTGAGAGCTGTAAGTTACTAGCATCGGTCAACGGCTATCACAACAGACTAGTCAGGGAAGCCATTGAGATACAAAAACTCAACCAAATCAGGAACCCGATCCTTAGGAACGCCCGAGCAGTACCGATCGATATCCCGAGACCAACCGAAGCGGAACAAGCCCCGCCCACCACCAATCGGCATAAATACAACCTGCGCAGGAGAAATCGTCAGTCTACGTCCAACATCGGAGATGGAAAGACCTCTGAAGAAGCTCGCCACTCGTGCTAGCGAAACGTTAGGAAGTAATTCCAATCGACGACGGCCTTTAAACCCGAATGAAGATAATAGTTTAAAGACAACAAGATTTTAAAGCACTTTTCAGATTTAAGGTTTTAAAAAGGTGTACAATTCTTAAGTGGGATGTTGTATAATTTTCTTAAATAATTTTCTCCTACTTGTATAGGTTGTCTCTATCTTTTGCGATTTAATTCACGAATGAAAAAATTACTCAGTGGTGAAATATTGGAAACCTTAAGCCCCAAAATTATTCCAACATTTGAAATTTTGAAATTTACTTTCCCAGGATAATTCACTATGGTATTTTTGGTCATTTAAATACTCATTTAATTAATAATTCATTAAAATAATAAACCAACATTGAAGGCAGTTGAATCCCATGAACAAAAACGTAACGCAATTTTCAATAAAATTTGAAAGTGCTTCTGCGTTTTCTTTTAAATTTAAACTTAAAATTTAATTTAAGGCGAAATCCAAAATTTAAAGTCTTTAAATTGAAAGTCCCTTTTTAAAACAGAATTAGCCTAGATCTTTACTAAATTTTTTTTGCAAATTTAGTGTGAGTATGATTCGAAATAATTCTACAAATTTATTGGAAATACGTTAAGAGAAGGAAAATAATTTTCAATCAAATTTGAAGATGTTGCTGCCTTCTCTTCTCTTAAATTGAAACTTAAAATTTAATATAAGCCGAAAGTCAACATTTGAATCCATTTAAATGGAAACTATTTTTTTAAAAATGTTTTAATAAAAAGATAGCGTTTGAAGCGAGGGAAAATATTTTTTGAAATTTAACTGTTAGGAAAATAAAAAAATACTTATATAAATTTGTTGAAATCATTTTTCCAAATTACATTCTTATATCCCTATCCATCTTTCGCGATTTTAAAATATATAAAATTAATTTACGTATAAAATAAGCAATAATAAGTAACCTATTGGTTAAATATTTACAATCTTCGATCTTAAAATTATACCAACGTTTGGAATTGACTTTCCCAAGTTCACTCGCGATGGTTTCGTTCATTTCATTGACAAGTCCTTTAATTAACAATTAATTAAGATAATAAACCATTTTTACATTTGCTTTATTTGTAAATACGAAATAAATTGCAAAAAATTCAAGACAGTTACAATAACGTAGTCCATAAATTTTGTAAATAATTCAAAACATGGAGACATTGAAGAAATACATTAGGTGAAGGAAGTATATTTTGCAACGAGTGTAGTAAATGACATTAGTGGTGAAATATTTAGAATCTTTTGTCTCAAAACTATTCCAACGTTTGATATTGAATTTTTTCTTTCGTTCATTTCATTGGTCACTGGTTTAATTAATAATTATTTAAAATAATAAAAAAATAAAAAAGATAATTAAAATAACATAGTTAATAGAATCCCATAAACAAAATGGAACTTTGAAGAATTAAAATATTGAAGGAAAAAAGAATTAAATCAAATTTAAAAGTGCTCCTGTTTTTTGTTCTCTTAAATTAAAACATAAAATTTAATTTAAGCCGTAAGTCAACATTTGATTCTATTTAAATTTAAACTCCCTTTCGAGAAACAACAAACAAAGTTTGTAAGTTTGAAGCGAGGAAAATATTTTTTGCAAATAATTTTGTTGGAATTACCTTTTTTAATATGTTATCTTTATCTTTCTCGATTTTAAAATACATAAATTCTCATTCGCTATAGCAGTTGCGTTCATTTCATTGATCAATCTTTTAATTAACAATTGATTAAGATATTAAACCATAAATAAATGACAAAAATAGTCAAATTTCAAACTGCGGCGGTTTTTCTTTACATTAGAAATAGAATAGAATTATCGAGGGCACCCTTACCTGTATCTGTCAAACTTGGCGTATTTCTTCCATTCCACAGGGTTGGACTTGTACGATCGCATCACGTAATGGACCAGTTCGATGTTGATCGAGTCTTTTTCAAAAATACGGTTCAGTTCCCTTATAAGATCCGACAGCGACCCTACTTCAGGTAACGAATGTCCCAAGTATTTGGACAAGTTAATTTCGCAAAATTCCTCGCGAGTAACGTCGTCGTCGATCTCGTTGGAATACGCACAAACGGCCATCTTTTTACGAAAAAAAAAAAAGATAAAACGCGACCGAGGCAGCAGCTCAGAACTAATTGACAATCGCGATAGTAATAAGTAATTTATTTTCTTCTGGACGGCCCGGTTTTGATTATCAATATCTCCTCCTCACTTGGTGTTGTAATTTCGTTCGAAACTAATAAAACATCGGACGTTCTTCTTCAATATAAATAAATATCCCGTAGATAGGTATATGGCGAAGTTGACCATTAAATGACTAATTAAAATTGCAGTGTAGCATGGCCGTCGTTGCAGGAGGATTGTATCCATTTATTCAGCGAAATAAACGTATAATAAAAGTATTTTCAATTTTCGTATACAGGTCGCCTTCTTTTTATATAAGATTAGTGAAAACTCAATTTTGAAATGGTTATTTCACTATTAAAAGTACTCCTATCAAGTTTTTACTTCTCCTTTACATTTTTTTGTATTTCAAGTGCTTACCGTAGCGGATATCCACCTTTCTATTAAGGCTATCAATTTTTTTATGGGACCACTAAAAAGTCTATTTCACACGGTTAAGTATTAAAAGTTTAATTAGCGAGTTTTTATTTATAATTTTCCTTTTTTAGTTTAAAGTGCATACCGTAGGAGATATCCACCTTTTTTTTTGAGCTGTCAAAATTTATAGGATCACTGAAAAGTCACTTTTTAAATGGTTATTTATTTATTTAAAGTACTCTTATCAAGTTTTTATTTCCCCGTTAATTTTTTTTTCTATTTAAACTGCTTACTGTAGGGGATATCCACCTTTTCATTAAAACTATCAATTTTTTTTGTAGGATCACTAAAAAGGCAATTTTCACACGGTTAAGTCTTAATAGTTCTATTAGCGGGTTTTTGTTTGCCCTTTAGATTTTTTTCTATATTTGTTAAAAGTGCTTACCGTAGGGGATATCCACCTTTTTATTAAAGCTGTCAAATTTTAAGATCGCTGAAAAGTCAAGTTTTTATTTCCCCGTTAATTTTTTTTCTATTTAAACTGCTTACCGTAGGGGATATCCACCTTTTTATTAAACCTGTCAAATTTTAAGATCGCTGAAAAGTCAATTTTGAAATGGTTATTTAAGTATTAAAAGTACTCCTATCAAGTTTTTACTTCTCCTTTACATTTTTTTGTATTTCAAGTGCTTACCGTAGCGGATATCCACCTTTCTATTAAGGCTATCAATTTTTTTATGGGACCACTAAAAAGTCTATTTCACACGGTTAAGTATTAAAAGTTTAATTAGCGAGTTTTTATTTATAATTTTCCTTTTTTAGTTTAAAGTGCATACCGTAGGAGATATCCACCTTTTTTTTTGAGCTGTCAAAATTTATAGGATCACTGAAAAGTCACTTTTTAAATGGTTATTTATTTATTTAAAGTACTCTTATCAAGTTTTTATTTCCCCGTTAATTTTTTTTTCTATTTAAACTGCTTACTGTAGGGGATATCCACCTTTTCATTAAAACTATCAATTTTTTTTGTAGGATCACTAAAAAGGCAATTTTCACACGGTTAAGTCTTAATAGTTCTATTAGCGGGTTTTTGTTTGCCCTTTAGATTTTTTTCTATATTTGTTAAAAGTGCTTACCGTAGGGGATATCCACCTTTTTATTAAACCTGTCAAATTTTAAGATCGCTGAAAAGTCAATTTTGAAATGGTTATTTAAGTATTAAAAGTACTCCTATCAAGTTTTTATTTCCCCGTTAATTTTTTTTCTATTTAAACTGCTTACCGTAGGGGATATCCACCTTTTCATTAAAACTATCAATTTTTTTTGTAGGATCACTAAAAAGGCAATTTTCACACGGTTAAGTCTTAATAGTTCTATTAGCGGGTTTTTGTTTGCCCTTTAGATTTTTTTCTATATTTGTTAAAAGTGCTTACCGTAGGGGATATCCACCTTTTTATTAAACCTGTCAAATTTTAAGATCGCTGAAAAGTCAATTTTGAAATGGTTATTTAAGTATTAAAAGTACTCCTATCAAGGATTTATTTCCCTGTTAATTTTTTTTTCTATTTAAACTGCTTACCGTAGGGGATATCCACCTTTTCATTAAAACTATCAATTTTTTTTGTAGGATCACTAAAAAGGCAATTTTCACACGGTTAAATCTTAATAGTTCTATTAGCGGGTTTTTGTTTGCCCTTTAGATTTTTTTCTATATTTGTTAAAAGTGCTTACCGTAGGGGATATCCACCTTTTTATTAAAGCTGTCAAATTTTAAGATCGCTGAAAAGTCAATTTTGAAATGGTTATTTAAGTATTAAAAGTACTCCTATCAAGTTTTTATTTCCCCGTTAATTTTTTTTTCTATTTAAACTGCTTACTGTAGGGGATATCCACCTTTTCATTAAAACTATCAATTTTTTTTGTAGGATCACTAAAAAGGCAATTTTCACACGGTTAAGTCTTAATAGTTCTATTAGCGGGTTTTTGTTTGCCCTTTAGATTTTTTTCTATATTTGTTAAAAGTGCTTACCGTAGGGGATATCCACCTTTTTATTAAACCTGTCAAATTTTAAGATCGCTGAAAAGTCAATTTTGAAATGGTTATTTAAGTATTAAAAGTACTCCTATCAAGGATTTATTTCCCTGTTAATTTTTTTTTTCTATTTAAACTGCTTACTGTAGGGGATATCCACCTTTTCATTAAAACTATCAATTTTTTTTGTAGGATCACTAAAAAGGCAATTTTCACACGGTTAAGTCTTAATAGTTCTATTAGCGGGTTTTTGTTTGCCCTTTAGATTTTTTTCTATATTTGTTAAAAGTGCTTACCGTAGGGGATATCCACCTTTTTATTAAAGCTGTCAAATTTTAAGATCGCTGAAAAGTCAAGTTTTTATTTCCCCGTTAATTTTTTTTCTATTTAAACTGCTTACCGTAGGGGATATCCACCTTTTCATTAAAACTATCAATTTTTTTTGTAGGATCACTAAAAAGGCAATTTTCACACGGTTAAATCTTAATAGTTCTATTAGCGGGTTTTTGTTTGCCCTTTAGATTTTTTTCTATATTTGTTAAAAGTGCTTACCGTAGGGGATATCCACCTTTTTATTAAAGCTGTCAAATTTTAAGATCGCTGAAAAGTCAATTTTGAAATGGTTATTTAAGTATTAAAAGTACTCCTATCAAGGATTTATTTCCCTGTTAATTTTTTTTTTCTATTTAAACTGCTTACTGTAGGGGATATCCACCTTTTCATTAAAACTATCAATTTTTTTTGTAGGATCACTAAAAAGGCAATTTTCACACGGTTAAGTCTTAATAGTTCTATTAGCGGGTTTTTGTTTGCCCTTTAGATTTTTTTCTATATTTGTTAAAAGTGCTTACCGTAGGGGATATCCACCTTTTTATTAAACCTGTCAAATTTTAAGATCGCTGAAAAGTCAATTTTGAAATGGTTATTTAAGTATTAAAAGTACTCCTATCAAGTTTTTATTTCCCCGTTAATTTTTTTTCTATTTAAACTGCTTACCGTAGGGGATATCCACCTTTTCATTAAAACTATCAATTTTTTTTGTAGGATCACTAAAAAGGCAATTTTCACACGGTTAAGTCTTAATAGTTCTATTAGCGGGTTTTTGTTTGCCCTTTAGATTTTTTTCTATATTTGTTAAAAGTGCTTACCGTAGGGGATATCCACCTTTTTATTAAACCTGTCAAATTTTAAGATCGCTGAAAAGTCAATTTTGAAATGGTTATTTAAGTATTAAAAGTACTCCTATCAAGGATTTATTTCCCTGTTAATTTTTTTTTTCTATTTAAACTGCTTACTGTAGGGGATATCCACCTTTTCATTAAAACTATCAATTTTTTTTGTAGGATCACTAAAAAGGCAATTTTCACACGGTTAAGTCTTAATAGTTCTATTAGCGGGTTTTTGTTTGCCCTTTAGATTTTTTTCTATATTTGTTAAAAGTGCTTACCGTAGGGGATATCCACCTTTTTATTAAACCTGTCAAATTTTAAGATCGCTGAAAAGTCAATTTTGAAATGGTTATTTAAGTATTAAAAGTACTCCTATCAAGGATTTATTTCCCTGTTAATTTTTTTTTTCTATTTAAACTGCTTACTGTAGGGGATATCCACCTTTTCATTAAAACTATCAATTTTTTTTGTAGGATCACTAAAAAGGCAATTTTCACACGGTTAAGTCTTAATAGTTCTATTAGCGGGTTTTTGTTTGCCCTTTAGATTTTTTTCTATATTTGTTAAAAGTGCTTACCGTAGGGGATATCCACCTTTTTATTAAAGCTGTCAAATTTTAAGATCGCTGAAAAGTCAAGTTTTTATTTCCCCGTTAATTTTTTTTCTATTTAAACTGCTTACCGTAGGGGATATCCACCTTTTTATTAAACCTGTCAAATTTTAAGATCGCTGAAAAGTCAATTTTGAAATGGTTATTTAAGTATTAAAAGTACTCCTATCAAGTTTTTACTTCTCCTTTACATTTTTTTGTATTTCAAGTGCTTACCGTAGCGGATATCCACCTTTCTATTAAGGCTATCAATTTTTTTATGGGACCACTAAAAAGTCTATTTCACACGGTTAAGTATTAAAAGTTTAATTAGCGAGTTTTTATTTATAATTTTCCTTTTTTAGTTTAAAGTGCATACCGTAGGAGATATCCACCTTTTTTTTTGAGCTGTCAAAATTTATAGGATCACTGAAAAGTCACTTTTTAAATGGTTATTTATTTATTTAAAGTACTCTTATCAAGTTTTTATTTCCCCGTTAATTTTTTTTTCTATTTAAACTGCTTACTGTAGGGGATATCCACCTTTTCATTAAAACTATCAATTTTTTTTGTAGGATCACTAAAAAGGCAATTTTCACACGGTTAAGTCTTAATAGTTCTATTAGCGGGTTTTTGTTTGCCCTTTAGATTTTTTTCTATATTTGTTAAAAGTGCTTACCGTAGGGGATATCCACCTTTTTATTAAACCTGTCAAATTTTAAGATCGCTGAAAAGTCAATTTTGAAATGGTTATTTAAGTATTAAAAGTACTCCTATCAAGGATTTATTTCCCTGTTAATTTTTTTTTTCTATTTAAACTGCTTACCGTAGGGGATATCCACCTTTTCATTAAAACTATCAAT